GTGAAGCCTGAGGAGAAAAATTTCCACTTGCTTCTGCAAACTTTATCTCCACCACAATTAAGAAGTTCTCTCACATTTGGACTCTGGACTCTTCACACCTTATCAGTTAGGTGAGGCCGAGACAGTGGGATTTACGTTTTAGAACAGAGTTATCATTGTAAGAGTTGTGTGACCACAATGAGTTGCCATAAATGGCTTCCTAAATAGAAACAGAAAATAGAGGTGACCTATGTTTAATTTCTATCTGAGTTCTCTTTGCTCTGCACTGGTTTGTTTGTTTGTTTGTTTTTTAAATTATTCTTGTGTACTAGTCTATTATTTGTTTTCATGGTTATTGTGGCCTGGAAATCTTTTTTAGGACTTTGATTCTCAACTCCTCATCAATGACAAAAATATAATCATTTGATTCAGTCTACAATACGTATAAAAATATAAGTGTTCATTGTGCCATGAAAGGCTGAGCACATACCTCATTGCTGGAGAAACACCACTGAGATTAGAAGGAAACATAAGAAAAGTATCAGTTCAGGATGGTTGTCTCTGGCTGATGGTAATGCTGGTTACATCCCAGGCTATGTTCACAGAGGTATTAATGTAGCACCCAGGGAAAGGATGCAGGAAAGAAAAGGAAGCAATGGAAATAGAAGTCACTGAAATGTCACATACTAAAGGAATAAGAGAAATAACAATGATTATTACAGGATCTGGAATAAAGGAAGGTCTAGAGAGTTAAGGGAGAATAAGAGGAGAGCAATGCTTTGGAAAACAAATGCTTAGAACATTCTAGAAGGTCTGGCAGTCAACTGTGCTGAATGTTGCAGAAACGATGAGGAAGATGAAGACCAGCATTTACTAAGCTGTTGTTTAATGAGAGCAGGTTATATGTGGGGCAGGACGCTAGATGCTAAGAATGCAAAGAAAATACAAAAGATAGCTTACCTTCACATAACTCACAATGTGATGTGGGAAAGAGATGTGTAAAGAGTTTAGGTGCACGAGGTAAATGGCCTATTATAATTACGTGCTGTGGGAGAAGAGAAGAAGGGGAGAGAGAGCGGGAATAATAAAGATTTTTTGGAGAAGGTCATATTGAGCTACGTGCTGATGAGGAACTTCTACATGGAAAGGGGAGGCATGGACATTACATGTTCAATCAAGCACATGGGTAAAGGAGTGCAGATGTGCAATCATCATGCACAGGGAAAGAGAGTTAAGTATGGCTCAAGGACAGGGGTGCACAGAGCTGAAAAATCTAGCAGAGCACAGATCACAGAGGGTCATGTATACATGCTGTCTAGAAGAGTTTGAAGGTCATCTGTAAGAAGTAAGGCACCATTGAAAGAGTTTTAATCTGGGATTTGATGGTCAGTTTCCTATTTTAGAAAGATTTCTTAAGTAATACAAAAGAATGACTCAGAGTGAAGGGATAGCTAGCCTACTGCAAAGGTCCAAGTGAGAAAGAATGAGGACCAAGGTAATGCAGTGGAATGGAGAGAAAGGATGGATCAGAAAAGTCTTTTGAAGGTTACAATGATTTTACCACTACACTATAGGAGATAAAAAAGTAAAGGGAGTTGAGGGTGACTTCCACATTTGGTTCAGAATCAACCAACGAGAAGAGAGCAAAGGATAATGTAAGTGTCATTAATTCTGTCATTAATTATGAGAAAACCAGTAGATTCAGGGAAGATGCACAGGATGAGTTCAGTTTTATATAGCAACAAAAATATTACTGCCTTGGATTGAATGTCCCCCCAAAACTTCATCCCCACTGTAACCATTGAGGGTGGGAAATCCTATTACAGTAATTAAAAGGCAGGGCCTTGAAGAGGTGATTAAGTTGATGGTTTAATGGTGGTTGTGGGCGTGGTTCTGAGGGCTTTAAAAGGAGAGCACATGAGTTCTCTTTCTCTGTCCTGCCATTCTGCCATGTGAGGCCCCTGCTTTATTGCTTTACCAAGGAAGACCCTCACCAGATGTGTTCCCTGCACTTTTGACTTCTCAGCTTCTGAAACTGTAAGTAATAAATTTTGTTTTCTTACAAATTACCCAGTTCCAGATATTTTGTTATAAGCAACAGAAACAGACTAATACAATTACCATTAGGTTTATTGATTGGGAAGTTCATTGAAGATGAGAGAGAGACAGAGGTGGAAGGAGAGAAAGACTCAGAGAAGCAGGGGGGCACTGAGAAAAGAATGAACAGGAAACTCTGGGAGGGAGAGAACTAACTTTCTCTGGTTCATTGTCTATTTCCAGCCCTTAAGATAGTTTCTTTCTCATTATAACTGTCCAATAAATCTTAAATTAAATTGAGAAATAAGCAAGGTTTAGTAGAGTGGCAATTTAAAAACCCAATTAGGAAGTGGCCTCAATCTTACCAGAAATAGTTGCCTAAAATTTCATAGAACTTAAAAGAATCCCCGGGGTCACTATGGTATATAATCCTTTAAGAGTTACTATAAGGAAATAAGATCACATAAATGCAATCTGGAGATTTAAAAAAATAAACATCTGGCTATTATTTTACTTAAGCATTAGTATTTAAAAACACAGTGAATAATTTTGTTGTTGCTGTTTTTAATAAACAAGGGATTGATACAGATTTATTGCCTGAAAGCCCACAAAGTCCACTTTTGAACAACTTTGAACGGATGTGTTCAGAAGTTGGACTTCATTTTAATGTGGAAATAACTCAATTCTCTAAACTCAGACATACTTGTAATTGCTCTTGGAATAATTTCTAGGATTACAAAAATCCTCTATGAGGAGCAGATGTTCTTAATGAAAGATTTAGTATCCCTACAAAACTTCATCTTACCCTCCATAGTAGAGGCTTCATCTAGGAGAGAGCATGAATGCCGAATAACGTGAAAATCAGGGCTTTTGGCAGCAGTGCTCATATCAACTGAGTTACATTTACATTATAGAAACCCTGGAGAAGGTAGGCATATAAAACGTCATCTGCTATAGTAGAGTTAACAGACATTTTTTTGATGGAAATTTCCTTAGGGTTCCCTAGGATTCTTTTGCCTCAATTAATCTCATCCAATACCACCCCAGAAAGATATGGCTACTTAATTCTTTTGTAAGCAAGTGAATGAATTTAGTTAATGTTTTTCATGTCTTATATTGGATTAACTACAGAGTTTCCAGATAGACATTTGAAATGTGGTGCACAGTTTGTAGGCTGTAGGGTCAGGAGTTAGAGGGCAGGGCAAAGGTTTTCTGGGTTCAAATAACAAAAGATAACAGGAAAAGGGATTTGTGAGCCTTTTTATCTGCTCTGTCGCTAGTGATTTGCTGTGCATCTCTCAGGCAAGGGATTCCTGCTGAATGGATGGGATAAGAGGAAAAACTAAAGAGAAGCAAGTGCTGTTTTCTTTGTGCATCTCTAATAAGAATGTAAGCCCAGTGAGGGCAAGAACTGTGCCTGCAGTTTACATGCTCAGTGCCAAGTACAGGGGGGAGGCCAGAGGAGCATGCCCAGGGGAGAGGAAGTCATTGGAAGGGGAAAAGAGTTTATGGCTTTCTTCTGCCTCAGTGTGGATTTTGGTAAAACACATGATGTTATTGGGCTGACTGAGCAGATGTACCTATCAAGCGCTCAATCTATTGCGGGACTTGTAGATTTGTCCTGGGAGAAAACTGCCAGAAGGAAACAGGACCAAGAAAATGGAAAATGGGTTTAATTTTCTTTTGTCCAACTCCTGGTTGATTTGCACTGC